TTTTTTTTGATACAGAGTCTCACTCTGATGCCCAGGCTGGAGTGCAGTGGCGTGATCTTGGCTCATTGCAACCTCCACTTCCCGGGTTCAAGCGATGCTCCTGCCTCAGCCTGCCGAGTAGCTGGGACTTCCCCTTCTCCTCTTCTGCCTGAAGGAGGATGGGCGGTTTGGAGATTCCAATCCAACCCCCAAGAGTTTATCACATAATATAAGTAGTCATAATAGCTGATATAGCCGGGCATGGTGGCTCACACCTGTAATCCCAGCATTTTGGGAGGCTGAGGAGGTTGGATCATCCAAGGTCAGGAGTTCAAGACCAGCCTGGCCAACATGGTGAAACCCCGTCTCTACAAAAATACAAAAATTAGCTGGGCATGATGGTGCATGCCTGTAATCCCAGCTACTGAGGAAGCTGAGGCAGGAGAACCACTTGAACCCGGAGGCGGAGGTTGCAGTGAGCGGAGATCGCGCTGCTGCACTCCAGCCTGGGCGACGGTGAGACTCCGTCTTAAAAAAAAAAAATAGCTGATATATTGTGTGCGCTGGGCATGTGGTAAGCACTGCTTAGTGGACCTCATTTAATCCTCGCAATAATCCAGCAAAGTGGGTGTTACTATCCCGTTGATAGGAAAGAAAACTGAGCTGCAGAGATAAGGCAGAGCTCCCAAGGCCTACCAGCTGCCAAGCAGCAGAGTGGGGCATCATACCAGCCTGACCCCACCAAAGACCATCGCCAGTGCCAGCGCTGCCTGGCTGTGCTGCAGGTGGGGAGGCACCTAAAAGGTAGGGAGGGAGAGAAGATATTTTCTAAGCATGTCAGGCACCAAAGACCAATGCCAAGTTCTGCTGTGTGCCTACCCTGGAGGGTCCCAAGGTGCCACCAAGCCTCAGACACACTGAGATTCTCAGAGGAAGTGGGGACTCACAGGTGGGCAATGCCTAGCAGAGGCAAAGATATAGAGGTAAGGGAGTTCCAGAATGAGCCTGGCCAGATTCAGCTTCCCACCCAACCCTGGACCCCCAGGAGGTGGTGTCAAGAGGGGCCATGGCCTGGGGTGCGGGCCCCTCTTCCTCCCAGAACACTGGCCTGAATCAGCCAGCTCCTGGCACACACAGCCAGGTCCACAGGCACAACTGTTCCTTGGGGCCCCTGAGGGCGGGGGATCTGCTGGGGCTGTGGCTTGTAACGTCTGGAGTAAGTGCAGGCTCAGATCAGGGCGAGGCTGCTTGTCCAGAGAGGCAGAAAATTCCCAAACAGAAAACCCCCAAGGCGGAGGACCCTGGGGCTGGACTCCTGGAGGTGGTTCTGAGCTTACCCTGTGGACGGATTGGAGGGTGGCCCCCCTAACCCACAAGGATCAAGAGGGGGTAGGGGATGGTGGGAGGGCAATCTGGCCAGGAGAAGCTACGCGGGAGGCTCCCGCCCTCCCCAGTCCCACCGTCTCAGCCCCGGGGCCTCTTCCTCCCTGGAGACAGCCAGGTGTGGCCCAGGATCCCGGGAAGTGCAGGGGAGGGGATGGCGTCTTCGCTCGTCAGGCGCTGGCCCGGCCCAGAGGGGACAGGAAGCCAGGACACCGGGGATTGTCTCTCGCAACCGCAGCCCAGCCCCAGTCCGGGAGGAAGTTCTGCCGGGCGCTCTCCGCCGGTGCCTCCCTGGTTATATTGTTGAACAGGAAACCCGGCAGCGCGGGAGTCGCGCGGTCGAGGAGGGAGCGCGGGACGCCGAGCCCACGCGCGCCTGCCGGGGCAAGTGGAGGCGAGGCCGGCGAGCGGACGCCCCGAGGTGCCCGGGCAAGCAGGGTCAGGAGTGGGGCGCCGAGCGGGGTTTGGGGTGGGAGGTGGGGTGGGGGTAGGGAAAGGGGCAGGGTGGGGGAGGGAAGGGTGCGGCAGGTGGTGGGTCCGCACCCGGTAGCTCCGCGCGCCTGCTCCCCTTGTCTCCGTGCTGGGGCGGGAGCTGCGCGGGCCGCATCCCACGGGGAGGAGAAGGTAGGCGAAGGGCTGCCCTCCATCTGGGGGCGGGAGGGGAGCAGGCCCAGGCTCCCAGCGCCGACCCAGGCGTTGACGCCGCTGTAGCTTGGGCAGTGGATGCAGGGGACCTCCTGGCTCCTGCTGCGCTCTCGCGCTCCAGGGATCCTCCCTGCTCCCCCAATCCCTCCCCTTCTCTGTGTTTCCCCAGGGTCGGGGAAGGAACCGAGGCCGGGTCCCCTTCTTATCCAGCCCGAGACACTGAGCTCCAGTGGGCGTCCCTGTGCTGGGAATCCCGCTCGGAGTTTTTCCAGGCCTGGCCGGGCTGCGTCGGGAAAGGCCCTGGTGAGGGAGGAGGTGGGCCCGGAGCGGGCGGGTCTGCAATCCTGTTGGAAGGGCTCGCAGTGGGTGATTCAGGGTGCAAATGACCTCTCCGGGAACGGGAACGCCCGCACGAGACAACCAGCCCCAGCCCGGCATTCCCAGAGCCGCGCACAGGAGGGACGCAGGGACTCCGAGACAGCAATCTGGGGGGAAGGGGGTGAGGGGGAAGGCGGAGCAGGGGCGGTCCCACCCTCCTTGGGCTCCACTCGCAACCCGCCAGTGCCCCTTCAGACGCAGCCGTCGCGGCTCCGGGTCCCGGCCTTCTGCTCTGGGCCTCGTCCCAATGCCCCCCGAGGTCCCCAGCAGAGGCATTCAGGCTCCTCCTCGCCCCGCCCAGACACGGCTGCTTTGGGTATCGGTGACAGCACTCCTTAGCGTCCCTGTCCCTCTTTGCTCCATTTGCCAGCTCCGGTTCCGCGCAGCCTCTCCGGCCTCGCCCCTGGAAACCCCGCCCAGGGCGATGGTAGGGGCCTAACCTGCTGCCACCGCCGGCTCCGCCCACCCAGCCCATGGGCTCCCTGAGGCCCGCCCAGCCGACGTGAGTGCGCTGCGGGGTCCAGGGGGAAGGGGCGCTAGGGGAGTGTCCTCCTTGGGGTTTGTTGGCTCAGCTCTGGGCAGCTCGATGACCCCGCCTCCAGGGCCCAATTAGCTTAGTGACTCAGTTTACTCCCTTTCCTCGTCGAGGAACGCTTGACAAAGTGGCGACGGAGCCCTGCAGTGGCCCCGGTTGGACCCTGCTCCTTCGGTCCCTCTGCCTAGGCAAGCGGCGGTCTCCTGGCCCCAGGTCCCGGCCAGCTTAGGGGGCAGGAGGAAGTGTGGTCAGTGTGGGAGTTTGGAGGGGCTTTGCACTTCCGGAGAAGACCACCGACTCATGGCTTTGGTGGAGGGGCGCAGGCAGATTTAGTTAGGCTCTCCCCCATCCCTGACACCCGGGAGCCGGGGCGGGAGCGGGGCATGTGCCCACCACTCCAGAGAGCTTTGGGGGGCCCTGCTCTGGGACTCCGCACTGATAGTCACTGTCTCAGAGTGCATTCTCCAGGAGCCACTCTCGTGGGGACACTGTAGAGGTCACAGGGCAGGTGAGCAGGCCGCAGGGCCAGGGCCTTTCTCAGGAGGCGGCGTGAGAGCCAGAGAGCAGGGGGCGGTGCGGGCCGGGCTGGGCGGGCAGGGCTCGGGCTCACGTCTGCGGTGATGCAGCTGGGGAAGGAAAGAGAAACCGAGAGAACCGGTTCCCCCGCATTGGCAGCAGAGGCCTCTACATCAAGGCCCTTGGACTAAGCGGGGCAGGGACAGCCCCCAGGTAGAGCTGTTCGCTGGGCCCCCTGCAGAGCCCGCATCCCAACTCTGACCAGGGGGTCCGGGCGCAAGCTCCTGGAGGGAGGCAGTGCTACCAGACCTTCTGTGGATTCTCTGAGGGCGGGAGGCGTCCAGGTGGGACAGGGCCGGGTAGCGGCAGTAAATGGGGTGTTCTTCCTACTTAACTGACGGGAAAAATAAGGCTCAGTCAACTATTAAGCAAGCGTGGTGTCAACCTTAGAGCAGGCAATCACCCCTTGTTTTAAAGCCAAGGCTTCCCTCGTAGTCGATTTGGACCAAGACTACTCACAATCTCCCCACCGCAGGACTGAAGCAAGGGCTAAATCTTTTTTTTTTTTTTTTTTTTTTTTTTGAGACGGAGTCTCGCGCTGTCGCCCAGGCTGGAGTGCAGTGGCCGGATCTCAGCTCACTGCAAGCTCTGCC